TCATAACTGCTTTCTAAGGCTTACAAATTTCTGGTCTTCTCTCTGCTTCCTGACTTTTCTTTAGGCCCAAGTTAGATCTGCACTTTCTCCATCGGTTCCTAAAGATACAGAAGGTTTTGTTTCCTTCTTGGTCGTCACAGAATGTCTTGATGTTCCTGACTCTTTTGTGTGTGGCCCTAATGGGTGAGTGAGTAACTTGGACTTTGAAGAGGTGGGTAGAGCCCTGGTTTTGGGTCCCTTTCCTTCTCTCTGGGGTGTTTATGAAGCAAGGATTCAGCAAGCCTCCCTCCTTTTCCCTCATCACTAATTTCTGACTCCTCTTCCTCCTTGCAGAACAACTGGTAATCTACCAGGTCGGCTTGATCCCCAGTCAGTACTTTGGGGTCCTGGGAAACAAAGACTTGGATGGGTTTAAGGCGCTGACATTTCTGGCTCTCGTGCTCATCGTTCTCAACTCCACAGTAAGGGTTTTCTTTTGAACAAGGCTAGTGTGAGTGGATTGCCCAGTGGGACTTCAACTCCAGGAAACAGGAATCAGTGTGCAATGTGTTTCCTCCTTTTTCTGGGAACTGGAGGTTAGAACTGAAGGTTTCCCTGAAAGTTTCCCTGAAAGTTAGAACTCTTTGCAGGGCATTGATCTTACTGTTGCTTCCTTTGGAACTAATGTCTCAGGTGTTTCAAACTCCTAAGGCTAGGCTGAAAGGTTCTGGATGAATTCACCATTTAGTGGAAATAGTCATTGTCCCTGAAGTTCTCAGAACTCTTGCTTCAGGGAGCCAGAGCACTTTAAAACCAGGATCAATAGCTAGAGCTGCTGTTCCTCCTCTGGCTGCTGAGGTTGTGATTCATCCTGGCATATGTCACAGCTCCAGTTTTAGCACCTGCTGCTTTCTTACAGAATGGCCTTCTTTCCCCATCGCTCTCGTTCACTTGACTATGGCCTGCTCATTTTTTTCAAGTTACCTCCATTGTCCCCTCTTTTGAAACCTCCTCAAGTTTCTCCTTCATGTTTCCTCCATCAAATGCAGCCCTTTTCCTGTACTTAACTAATTCCTTGAGTTGACCTCTGCTGTCACATCCTTATCATTGACTGCTCCCTGGATGGCTGTGAGCTCATTCCTCTTTCCCTAGTGCTTAGCACAGCAGAAGTGCTTTGCACGTGGCAGATGATGAGTCAGGTATCTGCCAGGACTCAACCTAATGTTCTCTCAAGCTGCACCAGTTGTTTTATAGGGAACCCCGCCCCCATCACGCTTTGGCCACGTTTGATGGATCTTCATTTAGAAAAGCACTGGCCACCCAGAATCCTCTTCCACACTTTGGGGACAGAGGAGTAAAAGCATAAATGATGATATGGTTCCCAAGCTCCAGAAACTGTTATGCTTTCAGTGTAAGATAGTAAGTTGTAGAAAGGGGATTGAGGGTCTTGCTTTTGGTAAGTCCTTCAAGATTTGGTGAAGAAATAAACACATGAGTGAATGGGAAGGGTGAGTCCCATGATTTGAAGCTTTACACGAGGAAAGTGCTGAGTGATCAGAATGGGCTGGGCCTAGTTAGCAAAGGCTCCTGCGAGCCCTGAGCTTTGAACTGAGTCTTGCGTTCCTTCTTCCTGTCTCCCCCACTGCACAGCTGAAGAGCTTTGACCAGTTCACCTGCAACCTGCTGTATGTGAGCTGGAGGAAGGACCTCACTGAGCACCTACACTGCCTCTACTTCCGGGCCCGCGTGTACTACACCCTCAATGTGTTGCGGGATGACATCGATAACCCGTAGGCTTCCCCCTCGGTCCTTGTTCCCTTTGCATGCCCATTCATCTGGCTGCAGACCTCATGGAGGTCATCTATAGCAGGCAATGTTGCTTCCCAGAGCTGTAGGGAAGGATGCTCTGCAGAGAACCCCTGGGAGGCTGCAGGGCTGAGAATAGGGAGCCAAAAAGAGGCATGAGCAGCTCCCTTTTGTTCATTTCATATCCTGGGCTTCTAAATAAGGCAAGTGAAGAAAACATCCTCGCTTAAAAAAAACAAAAAAAAAAAACAAGTTTTGAATTTTTAGCAGCAAAATAACAAAAAACCCCAAAAGTTACTGCTGTCTGGGTCTGATGTAGTATTTAGTTTCTCATTCTGTCACCTCCCAGCTTCTATTCTTTTTTTTATAGGTGAGGAAACTGAGTCCCAAGAATTGCAAGTGACTTGCCCAGGGTCACATCTCTCACTGGGAATAGAAGTCAGGGTAGCCTTGGTAGTGCAGAGAGATCTATGGTGTTTCTCCTTATCACTCCCCTCTCACGCTACCACCCTCCCCCCGCAAGCACTTGGCTACCTGGGAGGCCCTTCCTCAGCTCAAGCTGTGCTTCACAGTGAAGGTGCTGCCTTTGCTGCTTACTTAGCCCCTTCCTGATGACTCCACCCTGGAGAGGCTGTCCTAGGCAGACCGCTGTACTGGGGCAGGCTCAGAACTGCAGAGAGGCTGGGGAGGATGAGATAAGGGGACCTTCCTAATTGTCTAGAAAGGTAGCTCTTCTACTCTCAAGTTTTCCTTTGGCTGTGCACAGAGCTGGCTGAGGCTCCTGCATGCTGGGCCTTTCATTTCTACTTCTCTGGGGAGTAAACTGAGGCACCATAAGAAGCAGCTGCCTAGAACCGTGTATAGAGGTTCTAAGGGTTTAGTTCCCTCTAGGAAACCAGCCTTGTCTGGATGTTTCCCTGGGGTCGTTGCTGAGGGCACTGAAAGGCAAAGTCAGGAGAAATGAGAGTGCCCTGCTTTCTTGGCCCTTGAACCCAGCTGATGTGATTGGCTGCAGGGACCAGCGCATCAGCCAGGATGTGGAGCGATTCTGCCGGCAGCTCAGCAGCATGGTCAGCAAGCTGATCATCTCCCCGTTCACGCTCATCTACTATACTTACCAGTGCTTCCAGAGGTACAGGCCCTTCTCCCCCAGAGTTTCCCCAGAGTCTGTCTCTCAGAGGTCAGGTCAGAGTCCAAGATGTCTTGCCTTCCCTGCCCCCACCTGACCCAAAGAAGTCTTCCTAGCAGTTGTGCCCTGGCCTCTATTCTCCTTGACCCCATGTGATATTTCAGTGTCACAGTGATCCTGAAACTCTGACAGCTCACACCAGGTATCAGATGTCCCCTCATAAGAGGAGAGGGTCCACAGAGCTGTTGAGACTTGACAGGGACTATCCAGGAAGGGGCAGGGAGCAAGGCTGAGGCCTGTGGGGCCGTGAGGTGCCCCACACCCTCCCTCACCCTCTCACTCTACTTTCAGCACAGGATGGCTTGGGCCTGTGAGCATCTTCGGATATTTCATCCTGGGAACCATGGTGAACAAAACTTTGATGGGGCCCATTGTGGCCAAGCTGGTGCAGCAGGAGAAACTAGAAGGGGATTTTAGGTGTGTCTTTTGCTTGAGGTTTCTGGGCTGGGCATGGTGGTTAAGGGATAGGGTCTGGGGTAAGACTACTGAAGTTCAGATCCCAGCTGTGCTAGTTACTAGCCGCGTGATCTCAGGTGAAGGCTTTCAACATCTCAAATGTTTGGTTTTCTTATCTCTACACATTAGAATGGGATGTATGTTTGCCTACTAAGGAATAAGGAGATTATACATGAGAAGCATTGAGAACAGTGTCTGGTTGTCCATTGCCAAATTCCTTGCTTGCCTCCTTTTTTTTTTTTTTTTTTTTTGGTACTGGGGATTGAACCCAGGGCCTTGTGCATGTGAGGCAAGCACTCTACCAACTGAGCTATATCCCCAGCTCTCCAAAGTCCTTATTCTCCCTGGGTCTTCTCATGTGCTTCTGGTCTAACCAACACGACTCAGGTCTGTTGATTAGGCCACTCAGGTCTGTTAATTGATCCAGCCCTTACTCTATGATTTTCTTGGCCTCCTGGCTGGGCCTATGGAGAGGAGAGATTGTGAACAGGAATGCACCTGTCCTGTCCTCTCATTAGAAAGCTGAGGGTGGCCCTGTCTTTGCATGGCTTTTGCTACCCCAACAGGCCTTGGGACTTCCCATCCCTAAGACAGACCAGGGAAGGGTTGGTTGAGGCAGCCAGAGCTCTTAGGGAGGGGTTTTCTCTCTATCCAGAGCTCTCCATTGTTAGTACACATCTCCCTTTGGTCTGCCTAGGTTCAAGCACATGCAGATTCGGGTGAATGCTGAGCCTGCTGCTTTCTACAGGTGAGTCCGGTAGAGAGAGTTCCCCTTCCACCTTGCAGAGGTAGTACCCAAGAAGGAAAGTTGAAATTGATAACTCTCCCACCCCCAGAGCTCATACTGAACACTGTCACATTTGCCTGAGACCCTCTCACTGCCCTTCTCTGCCTTGCCCTTAGGTCCTAGGAGACTCCTAGCTGGAGTCTCCTTATAGTAGCTAGTTTTAGTCTTAGTGCCTAACATGGGACCTGAAATGGCCACAGAATAAAATGAGGGGATGTGTCGCCATCTTGCTGATGTCTGATGCATCACCTCTACCTCTGTTTTCTTGTTGTGAATTAGCTTTTTTCCCTAGCACCTGACATCCAAGACTGTTTCTTTTTCTCTGTAGCATGGGACTTCTCAGGAGACCTACTCCCCACAAACACCGCCATAATATGTGGTCTCCTGATGGCAGTGTTGTGAAATGTCCCTTCCCTCCAGGACCAGGGCAATCCCTGAGCTCTACCTTGTGTAAGGCCACTATCAGTGTTTGGACTGATAGTCCAGGGCCCAGAGGTTTATGTTAAGAAGTTGCTAATTTTTGGATTAGCTGTACTTGGGGTGGATCTATTGGCCTGTGTCCTTTGTTCTTCTGTCAGATTCTGCTGTATTTTGCATCTACCACTACTTGGGAACACCCAGAGTATTAGGAATCTGAGCCAGATTGAGTAGTGGGGTGGGGAGAGTTGGATGGGTGGCGAGTTTGCTTTCAGATTCTGCAGCTTCTGCTCAGCTTTGGGGAAAACAGTTCTTGGAGGTATTGTTCCTCTGTGGCCTCTCTGTGCAAAATCTGAAGTGCCCCCCTCTTCTCCATCTTTTCTGCCTGGAGAATTTCTACTAATCCTTGAAGCCCCAAGTAAGCTCCAAGGTACTTTCCCAGGCTTCCTTAGTGGGCAGGTCTGTTTATTGCCATAGCCCTGAGGACAGACATGCTCACACTTTATACTCCAGAAACAATGCAGTGTGTCCACATGACCTCTGAACTGGGACCTCTGGAAGTCAAGAACTGTTTGTCCACTTCTTCATTGCACTGGCTGACTAGCGTAGAGCCTGGCGAGTAGTGTCTGCTGCAATTTATTTATTTGGTTAATAACAGCGGCTTTTGTTGAGGGCCCCTCATGTCTGCTACTTTATATCCAGAAACGTAATTCTCAGCCTAACCTATTATGTAAGTATTATTAGCTCCATTTGACAGATGAGAAAAAATAAGGTCCTAGAGGCTTACGTAACCTGCTACTGTCACCTGCCTAAAAACTGGCTAGAGCCAGGATTTGAATCAGGTCTGGCCAAGTCTAGAGTGTGAGTTCTTTCCACAAACAATATCATGAGGCAGAACAAGCAATGAGTGGTTGTTAGTGACAGAAAGGGTCTGAAGCTAAGATTGTTTGGATGGGCTTGGTCCCTAAAGGAGGCCGTGATGAGGGGTGGGGTGCCCCTGCAGGCCCTGTGGACATCCCAGCCTTTCTCATCAGAGCTGGGCATGTGGAGCACATGAGGACAGACCGCAGGCTGCAGAGACTCCTTCAGACCCAGAGGGAGCTGATGTCCAAAGAGCTCTGGCTGTACAGTAAGCAGAGGGTTCCCTGGAGGTGGGAACCATACAGTGGGAATGGTCCACTTCCCTTCCCGTACCTCTGTGCTTGTTTACCTGTCCTGAGAAATGTGTTCTAATGAAGGAATTAACTCAGGGGAGCCACTGCCTCTGCCGTGGGTGTCCTCAGGAGAATGAGGATCCAGGGGAATTGTGGTCCTGCTTGACTTCCTGCTCCCCATCTCAAGGATTGTGTCCCCTTCAAAGCACTTGAGTAGCTCATAGATCTCCCACTTTCTGTCTCCTGTAGTTGGTGTCAACACCTTTGACTATCTGGGCAGCATCCTGAGTTATGTTGTCATCGCAATCCCCATTTTCAGTGGGGTCTATGGAGACCTGACCCCTACAGAGCTGAGCACTCTGGTCAGCAAGGTAAGAATCCCTCCTGGTGACCCCTCATGCTGCACACCCCATCCTCTGGTCTGCACCCAGGGTCTGGGAGTTGAGGCTGGCACTGACCACTCTCCATCCTGTCCAGAATGCCTTTGTGTGCATGTACCTCATCAACTGCTTCACCCGACTCATTGACCTTTCCACTACGCTGTCAGACGTGGCTGGTTACACTCACAGGTGAGGCTTCGTCCCACCCCACTGGACCCTGAACTGAGTGTGTGCTGTTGAAAGAAGCAGCTAAGTGGGAAAGGGAACAGAAAATCTCCCCATATACTAGAGGGTGTGAGTCAGTGTCACTTCACCTGGCACCCCAGACCCTGCCTCAGGTTCTCGCTTCTTGCTCAGGATTGGGGAGCTTCAGGAGGCTTTGATGGAGATGGCCCTGAAGTTGCAGGACTGTGAGGTCCTGGATGAGACTGAGTGGGACTTGGACAAGTGAGTACTCGTGAATCCCCAGCTTGGGTTCACCCTGGTGCCCTACCCCTCCCAGCTGAGTAGCAACAGAGTCGTAAGGTGAGTGGAAGCAACCTCCATCTGGTGCCAAGCACATTGTGATTGCTGTCACATGGTTTGGCACCCAGTGTTTGGGTTTACATCGTCCCCCAGCTGATGGAAGCAAAGTGCTCACACCTGCCTGGGCCCCTTAACAAAAAAACAAAAACCTGAATGTTATCACCCCCTCCTCTTCTTCCTGCTGAGCTCTAGCCTGCCCTTTTCTGCAGGGTGTGTCTTCTTTGTTCTCTGTGCTTCCTGCAGATCCAGAGATGTCTTCCTTCTCCTATCTTTAGAAATCAGGAATGTTTCTTACCTTGCCCTGTCTTCAGGATCTGCTTCATTTCTACTTTCTTGGGAGATTACTTAACTGTTCTGGGCCTCAGTTTCTTTTCTTTTCTTTTTTTTTTTTTAAGGGGGGAGGGGATTTTTTTTTAATATTTATTTTTCAGTTTTCGGTGGACACAACATCTTTATTTGTATGTGGTACTAAGGATCGAACCCAGCGCCCGCGCATGCCAGGCGAGCGCGTTACCACTTGAGCCACACCTCCAGCCCCTGGGCCTCAGTTTCTTCATCTCTAAATAGCAAAGTTATGAAACCTTCCTCCTGCCTGGTTGTGAGGATTAGAGTTTATAGTACTTAGAAAGTGCTTGGACTCTGGCCACATGGTGAGCTTTCAAAAATGGGACAATCTGAATTACAGGTCCTGTGTTCAGCTCTCACTTCTTAAGAATGAATGTCTTAATAGTTGACCTATTTAGGCTGGGTGCATGGTAGCTCATGCCTTTAATCCCAGCTCAGGAGGCTGAGGCAGGAAGATTGCAGATTTGAAGCCAGGGCAACTTAGTGTCTCAAAATAAGAAAATAAAAAGATCAGGGGGTGTAGTACAGTGGTCAGGTGCCCTCAAGTTCAATCCCTGGGGCATACACACACACACACACACACCCACACACACACACCCACACACAGTTTCATGTCACTGTGGGCCTGGAGGCTGGGAGGATGACACAGGAACTGTAGGAATTGGGTTGTTGTTCTGTGGGGAAGACAAGCATCCACGAAGAGCTAGGAATTCCAGAGCTTAACCAGAGTTCTATTCCTGTGTATTAACTACTCCCATGTTACTATCAGTTTTCTGATCACACCATGACCCACCAACATTAGAATTAGCCAAAGTCAGTTCTGCAACTCTGAACAAGCTTCTCAGCCACCTGACCTGGTTTCTTTGCCTTCCAATTGAGAAGAATATCTATGATTCATGGGCATTGAGACTGATTAACATCAGTCACATCTGGGGCTTTGCCCAGTGGGTCTCTGAGTAGGTACCCCCACCATCCACTCCTGTATTAATGGACTCAGGATACGATACCACAAACTGAAACTGACTTCAACATCAGAAATTAATTTTCTCACAGTTCCAGGAAGTACAAGATCAAGGTGTTAGCAGGGATGGTTTCTCTTTTGGCTGCTCTTGGCTTGCAGACAGTCACCTTCTTGCTTGTCCTCATGTGGCCTTTTCTCTTGTCCTGCCCCTAGAGTCCACCCCAACAGCCTTCCACCATCACCTCTGTGAATAGCCTGACTCCATAAGAGGTTATGTTCTGAGGTCCAGGGAGTTGAGATGTTAACATAAAACTCCAAATGCAGAAGGCTGTCTCTGGAGAAGCAGCGCCTCCCACGCAGTATTCACGCTGCCTACCCTCCTACCCCTCTCTTCTGTACCCAGAGCCTCGGGACGGCCAGCCACGGAGTCAACAGACACAGCTTTTCTGCTTGAGCGGGTCTCCATCTCTGCCCCCTCCTCTGACATACCCCTGGTCAAGGACCTGAACCTGAAGATCTGCGAGGGGCAGAGCCTGCTCATCACGGGCAATACGGGCACGGGCAAGACCTCCTTGCTGCGGGTTCTGGGCGGCCTCTGGGCAAGCACACGGGGTGAGAGCCCAGCCCTCCCTGCTTCTGACGCCCTCCTTGGCCCTGGGGGAGGGGGCAGTGTGGTGGGCTCCAGCCTTCTTCGCTGGGGAAAGAGGGGGAGAGTCAGACAGGAGAGGCAGTTACCTTCCCTGTGAGATTTCAAAATGGAGGCTTCTGTGGGCTCTTCAGGCTCCGTGCAGATGCTGACCGACTTTGGGCCCCATGGGGTGCTGTTCCTGCCACAAAAGCCGTTCTTCACTGATGGGACCCTTCGGGAGCAGGTCAGCCTGATCAGAGGCCTGCTCTCTCTCCTCACCCCATCTGCTTAGCTGGGACCTCTAGCAGGGCAACAGGTCTCTGGCCCTAGGGAGTTACTGGACAGAAGGTGGGGTAAGAAAGTGGCCATGCTTATAATCCCAGTGACTCCAGAGGCTGAGGCAGGAGGATTGCAAGTTCCTGGCCAGCCTTGCCAACTTACCAAGACCCTGTCTCAAAAAATTAAAATGGGCTGGGGATGTAGCTCAGTGGTACATCCCCAGTACCACCCTCCCCATACTCACACAAAAGTGGCAAGCCCAGAAACTGGGTTCTAAGAATGTTCTACTCAGCATCTGTGGATTCACTCTCTGTACTCAAAACAACTCCTGGGTACAGGGAGGTCTTCAAGGGCGCTGGCCAGTTAACATGTTTATTGAGCCCTCAGGAGACTCAGACTCTTGCCCACTCCCTCTCCCAATCACTTTTGAAGGTTGCAGTGGCCCTACCCCACTCTCTGTGCCCTGTCTCCCACAGGACTCTCTGGCCAGAGTGTCCCAACTCTGCTTAGGTGGAGCGGAGCCTGGCCTTCCTGGGTGGTTCCTGGGGGTTTCTGAGGGAGGGGGTTGTGTGCCCCTCTGTCTCATTAGCCCTCCTCCTAGGCCTGTGTGGTTTTATTTTCAGGTGATATATCCCCTGAAGGAAATCTACCCAGACTCAGGTGAGCTGGACCTACTAAGGTCATGACTTCCATCTCAATTGCCCCTGCTCTGCCTGACTGTGACTTCACTTGCCCCCATTGGAAGAGGCTTCAGCCAGGCTGCTGGTTTCAGGTTGGGTCCCCTCCTCCACCTGTTTACTGTTTGAGGGTCTGTACTTTGCCTTCATCTTACATTCTCTTCTCCGCCCTGAGGAGGGGTACCCATTGGAGGAAGGGAAGTCATTGTTTCAGCTGGCCCTTTCCTTATCAAGGGCGATAACCCATCCCCTGTGCCTCAGGCCAGCATTCTGGGTACCCCCCACCCCATGATGTGCCCCAGCTATTCTGGCCAGCCAGGGGAGCTGACATGTTGAGGAAGCCTTCTCTCTTTTGCAGGCTCCACTGATGATGAGAGGATTGTGAGGTTCTTGGAATTGGCAGGCCTGGTAAGTGGGGCAGGGGCCTGAGGACCTGAGCCTCCCTGGGAGCACTGACCACAAGTCTCTGGCTGATGACTGGGGCAGAGAGTGGGAGTACAAATTGGCAGTGGGAGCCATTGATCAGGTATAGGCCATAGAGGGTTGAAGAATTTTAAAATAATAAAGCTGACCAAGTCTGTCTGCTTTTCACCATCGCCATGCTCCAGCAAGTCTAAACAGTGTAGTCGATAGCATCCGTACAGTTCCGTGGTGTGCAGAAGTGTTAATGTGGTGGGGACTAAGACTGACAGGAGCACGGATGGGCCCTTTCATGGACTTCATGCCCTCTGGGTCTCTTACAGTCCAGCTTGGTGGCAAGAACAGAGGGTCTAGACCAGCAGGTGGATTGGAACTGGTAAGAATGGAGGGGGGCACTCAGCCAGATCCCTCATGAAGACAGTGAGTTCCTGGGGGCACTGCCAAGGGATGGAATAGCCCCTGACCCCAAAGGCTAGATGTTTGGTCCATCAGGCACAAGCTGTGCCCTTGAGAACAGAGTTTGGGCCTCTGGTACGGGCAGCAGGGCTGTGGCACCTTTGTCTGGGGCCAACCTCTGCACAGAGAAGCTCTTCTTGCCCAGACCCATTCATGGCAAAAATCAAGCTGTCGCTTCCTTCCTTGAGCATTATCACTTGTTCTCTCTCCTAGGTATGATGTCCTGTCCCCAGGGGAGATGCAAAGGCTCTCTTTTGCCCGGCTCTTCTACCTGCAGCCAAAGTATGCAGGTGAGGCCTGCCCTGCTGTGCCAGGGACTTATGTGCCCACAAGGGTAGCAGCTTGTGTTCACGTTCACCCAGCACACCTGGGCATGGCTGGGCATCTCTCTGTCCCTTGCATAAGAGGAGCAGTAGCTGGCACCTCAGGGCAACCTTGGGGATGCTACAATACTTGCTTTAAAGCTTCCTGCTTTAGCAGCAGTTGAATCCCAAAAACTGGCCGTGAGAGGGATTGTGATATAGCTTCTCTGGCTCTGCCACCAAATGAGTGGGCATCCCCGCAGCTGTGCCTGTGGCAGGTGTGGACTTTTCCAAGGATATAACCTTAGGGAACTGGGCGTCCCTGGATTAGGCAGTCTTTGGGAACACTGTGCTTACTACAAGAAAGAGAGATTCTGTTCTCAGATGTAGCCCACGGCTCCCTTGGCTCATCTTCTCCACAAGGTGGGGTTCCTGTAAGCCAGACCAGCTTTCAGCCTCCCCTAGGGCCCAGCTGGGGGTGAGTGTGGGTTAGAGGAGGCAGAGGATCAAAGTCCTGTCCTGTCGTATGTGCCCTCAGTGCTTGATGAAGCCACTAGTGCCCTGACAGAGGAGGTGGAGAGTGACCTCTACCGAATTGGCCAGCAGCTGGGAATGACATTTATCAGCGTGGGACATCGGTCCAGCCTTGAGAAGGTACCAGTGTTCACGAGGGTAGACTGAGGGGAAGGAAAAACCCAGAAGCTAGGCCTGGCTAAGGCCAGGGGCTCCTCACCTTGGAGAGTCAAGGTGGCATAGGGAATAGATTGCTTTCTTTTGTGGTGGCTGAGCAGTCTGATTGCTGTGTGGTGGTTTTTCCTAGTTTCACTCCTGGGTTCTGAAACTCTGTGGAGAAGGAAGATGGGAACTGACTAGAGCCAAAGAGGAGTGAAGCCAGGGATGTGGTTGGCCACCAGCAGGAGAGCCCAGCAGCCTCTAGGAAGCCAGGAAGACCAAGGGGGCAAGAAGGAGCCCCAGGTTCACCTCCCATGTCTCATGCAGGAGCTCTTGCAGCAGTGGACCCAGCCCAGGGTGGCCCTGCAAGGAACACTAAGGTCTACTCATGGCTGCTTCTGTGGCCTCAGCCAGGGCCTCTGTACTCTGGAAATGCTGACTACTTACAGATGACTTCATCTCTGCTGAAGAAAGGTTTTTGTTTTTTGTCTTTTTGACAAGACAAAAACATACCTTTCATTCTGTGTGGTTAATAGACAAAATATCCTTACTTCCCCTGAGAAATAGTATATCCAAAATTCACTTAGAAGAACACTGAATATTAAAACATTATATGACAATATATAAGTGGATTGAATAGAAGTGAACTTCCAATTGTCTAAGAATATTTCACAGCACTGATAATATAAAGAAAATGTTTGGATTTATTTTCAAATTCAAAACTCTTCTGGTTGTTCTTCCCTGAGGGCCTTAGAGGTGAAAAGGTAATCAGATTATCTCCAAAGGAGATGTTTCTGGCATGTTCTTGATGTCTCTCTCCTCTCCACTTGATGACTGAAGTTTAGGCAAATCAAGAAGGTGGCATTCAGTAATGACACTTTTATTATCAAGTAGTACTAACGCAGAAGACTTAGTTTCTTCTTGTTGTGAGATGTTATTTTGTGATGGTATATTTTTTTCAGGGCTTCTCATCAAAACATCTTGTAAGGTAATTGAAGAATTTAGTTCCATTCTTTCTGCAATATCTGAAACTTCTTCCTTTTTGTTAGTTCTGTATTCATCATGGTTTATTTCAATTAAACCTTGTAATCCAGGACACTGAGCGTCTTCCACTATGCTATTCCTGCTTTCAGAAATATTTGAAAACAAAATTTTCTTATCAACATGTTCACTTTTGGTGCTCCCAGGATCAGGATTCACCGGTGGTGTCATTTGTCCTAGCAGATCTTCGTCAGCCTTGCTCTCAGGTATGGCATCCAGTGGACTTAGGGGTTCTGTGTCTTTGAGAAAGACGTTCAGAAGAAAGGTCTGAGGATGATTTCACAGGACTCTCAACTCTGAAAAACCAGCATCAACACTATTTTGACAAGTTCCTTTGATGTCATTGGGCTGTTGCCTCAGAGTATTCTTCCTGCTTAATTTTGCCTCATTGCATTATTTATGGCAGCAAGGGGATTTCCGGCTGCAGTCCTTCCACCATCATCTTATTTTGGTTTACTTGCCATGCTTGAGATGATTTTTTTCCGAAACACTTTTTTATTTGTGCTATTGTTTTGCCATCTAGACTCCTCAAGCTTGGTCAGTTTGGTGAACTCTTGGTTTACATCTTCCATCTGAAAACTAACCATATCCCCAAATGCATCCAGCTCTGTCCAGGTAGTCTCCATTTCACCTTGTTTCTGTTCACAGTCATTCTCCAGTCCTTCACACTGTTTGACTCTTTCCTTAATAAGGAGTCTTGTTTGACCAACTGCTGTGCAAAGAACATCTTCAGCAGCATCTGGAATGTCCGATTCAAGCTTTCTGTCCCACTCAAGGCAGTGTGAAGTCAGTTTCTCAGTTTCTGAAATATGGACATCATATGTTGGCTCAGACATCAGATCTTCATTTAATTCAAATGATGTGACATCTTTTATTGAAAGGCCATTTGAATTTTTAGTAGTAGTTTCATTTTGATTTAAGCTATGTTCTTGATTCAAAACTGTTAGAGAACCCAAAGGACACTGTAATTTATTTGAATCTTGCTGTACAGTCTTGGTTGAGTAAGTTTTACATTTTTGGGTCAAGATTTCTTTTTGTTGCTTCTTGAGTCTTCTGGTTTTAAAGGATTCCAGGTACAAATGGGTGTCAAGAAAGCATTGGCACCTGTGGGAGTCATGACTGTTACTTGATAGGTCTTCAAACCATCCAATGGATGAAACATAAACTCATTAGGTGCAAAGGAATTCTTTCCTTTGGTTTTTGCAGGATTTATCTTAGGTAAGTTTACATTTTTGATAAGGTTCCATCTGGATCCATTCCATTTGTTGCACTGGTTTGTGAAACCGAAAGTATTTTCTTCATTATCAAGTTTGAAAGAAACAACCTTATCAGGTTCTGTTTCTATCTTTTTCACAGGTCTTCCTTTATTTGATGCCTTTCTTTCAGGTTCATTATCATTATTGGCAGATCGAGTCATTCTCACTGATATGGGCAAATAGGCTGCACAACTGTTTTCTCTTTGTCTAATACTTTCTTTTCTGAAATCTGTCTTTGACTAGGTTGGATTGCTCAAACATCAATGCCATTCTCAATCTTAGTTTGTTCAATTTGGTCTTTGGCCTTTGATCTTGTAATCCATGAAGGAGATGGAATAGTCTTTTTTGGCTCAGTTTTCATAGCATTCTGGTTTGATAAAAGAAAGCAAGATGCCTCAGGTCTACAAAGACCCATTTTAAATATTCCTCATTTAGATTTTCTCTGTTCTTTTAATTTTTGAAGTTGCTTTTCTTTTATTTTTGAAGCATTTGTTTTCGTTCTTCACTGAGGGGAGTTTCATTGACTTTGGCTTGGTACTGGCCTTTTCTGAAACAAGCTCTTGCAATGTCTCATCTAATTCAACAAGACATCTACCTTCCGAGGTTAGGATATTGACATCTTTCAAGCTGGAGTTTCTATTTTGCTGGGATTCCTTAGGTCTGTTTTCTTTCTAAGAGGGAGATTTCCTATGAGCATATTTAGTTCAGTACTTAAATCCTAGACTCCTCAAATTTGGTCAGGTTGGAGAACTCTTGGTTTACATCATTTCAGTACTTAAATCCTTTCTATGGTGACTGGCAAAACGGATGAAGACATCCTGAGGCACTCTCTAGTGGGAAACATCAACCAAACTAAAAGTACAAGAGTCCTCCGGGTCCGGACAACCTCGGTCACTTCCAAAGGAGGAACTCCAGAAGCTTCATCTCTGAAGAAAGGTTTAAAAGGGTATGCTATAAGAAATGAAGGGTCAGGGTGTGTACCTGACTAAATTTTGTAATGATAGATTTTTAACTTTAATTAACTGACTTTTTATCTTTTTTTAAAGGAAAAAATAAAATAAACATTAATAAATGTTTTTGCAGCTTTTGCTCTTACTCTCCTCTCTATTATAAAATGATCTTCTTTATTGACTGTCTAACCTCAGAGCTTAGAAGGAGGGAGCTCTCCGCTCTGCCCTGGCACCTGCTGCTCATGGTTTTCCACTTCTCACTTCCTCCCTCTGAAGTGGGCACCCCCTTTCTCCACAGAAAAGCCCTCTTCACCATGGCTGATTTTGGGACTGTCAGCAAAAGAGTCTGCAAAAGAGTCCAATGTGGATAAACTTCCTATTTTCGTGTCACCCTGTTTACTTGCCACTGGCCAGGAAGATACCAGCACTCCAGGTGCTGGACACCCCCTTACTACTTTTTCTCAAACGTATCCAGTATAGTACTTTGAAGAAATGTGCAAACAAGGCCTCTGGCCTTGAGCTGGGCTTCACAGAGATTCTACATTTTTAAGTTACCAATGGGCTCCATGGTAACAGCTGGCAGGGGGAAGAAAAAAAGAGAAGAAGCTCTTCCCTTCTTAGGTGTTGTCCTTGAAGAGTTAACTTGCCCAGAACAGTGAAAGAAAAAGCTGCTTTTATGTGAACTTCTGCAGACTGTGAACTTCTGAGCCCCTCCCCTTACACACTGGGTATAAAACTCTGAAACTCCCTGAACTTGGGGTTCAGGGGATTGATTGATTACAGCAAAGGCTGTGCCCTCTGAAGCTGGCTGCAGCCAAATAAAACTGTTTCCTGCTATCTTCGGTGCCTTGCCTCGTTTGTCCCTACTACACCTCCGTGGGCCAGTGCAGTGTAGTAAAGTCCAGGAACCACTAATCTCTAGGGCCTTTCTGCCTGTAGGTGCTGGGGATGGAGCCCAGGCCCTCGCACATGTGAGGCCCGCTCTCCACCACTGAGCCACACCCCCAGCCTCTGTCTTTGCTATCCTAACCCAGATGAAAATAAACGTCCTTCTCCTTACCAGCTAAAATAGGGTTTTTGTGGGCTTTTTGTTTTTGTTTTTCTGTATTTGGGGTGGAACCCAGGGGTACTCTACTACTAAATTAAATACCTGGCTCTCTTTATTTTTTATTTTGAGACAGGATCTCACTAAATGGTTCAGGCTGGCCTCAAACTTGCAATCCTCAGCCAGGCGTGGTGGTACATCTCTGTAATCCCTGCAACTCAAGGTGCTGTAGAGGGAAGATCTCAAGTTGAGGCCAGCTTTAGTGATTTAGCAAGACTCTGCCTCAAAATAAATAATAAAAAGTTTTGGGGATGTAACTCAATGATAAAGAACCCCAATCTCTAGTACAAAAAGCAGAAAAACAAAACAAAAAAACCCTTGTTATCCTCCTGTCTTAGCCTCCCAAGTAATCGTGATTATGATGTGTACCACTATGTCCAGCATTTCCTAATGTATTTTTAAGTATTTATCTATTTATTTTGGTACTGGGGATTGAACCCAGGGGTGCTTTACCACTGAGATACACCCCCAGCCCTTTTTAATTTTTTATTTTGAGATAGGATATTGCTGAATTGCTTAGGGCTTTGGTAAGTTGCTCACTAACCTCAAACTTGGAATCCTCCTTCCTCAGCCTCCTGAATTGCTGGGATTACAGGCATGTACCACTGTGGCCAACTTTTCCTAATATTTTAAAATACTCTCAGTATAGTCTGTACCTAGAGTTCCTGTTGGGAGTCTCCCTGAGAACTCTCGGGGCCTTTCAAACACGGCGACAGGCAAATTGCCAGTGGGCAGCTAGAATTCCCCGGGGCCTTTCAGATAAGGAGCCCCTAATGCAACATGGCTGCGGGCAAGTTGCCAGTGGGCGGATAACAAGTTATTTTGAAAACCTTCTAATTGGTCCTCCCGTCTTCTGTGATCTTGGACAGCTCGTGCCCCCCATGAATCTTATGCAGGGTGGATGTGCGTGCACCGTAGGTGATGATCTGACCTTTACTATGATTGGCCCTGGGAGCTTCCTGGTTTAAGATAACTGACTCTCGCTTTCTATATAAACTAGCACCAGCTTGCAGTAAAGTGCTTCATCTTTGTCAGTGCTGTCTGTGTGTGTGCATTTTAATCTCCGACGAGGAACCTGGCCTTTCAGTTCCAGCTAGCTACTTGTGAGGAGGATTGCATGAGTCCAGGAGTTCAAGGCTAGCCTGGACCACCAAAAAAAAAAAAAAAAAAAAGAATGACTAACTCCCTTTTTTTTTTTTTTTGATACCAGGGATTGAACCCAGAGGCACTTTACCACTGAGTTACATTTTACATCCCTGGCCCTTTTTATTTTTTTATTTTGCTAAATTGCTTAGGGCCTTGCTAAATTGTTGAGGCTTGTCTTGAACTTGCAATCCTCCTGTCTGGGCCTCCCCTGTCACTGGGATTACAGGCACATGCCACCATGCCTGGCTAAATGAATTTTTTTAAAAGAAATTTTACATTTGATGTAAATAGACAATAACTATATGAACAATGAAAACCAGTATTTTTAAATTGCAGCTACACACTTTACCTACAAAAACTGAGCCTGAAGCTTGCTGTCTTTGTGGGGGGGCGGGAAGAGCAGAGTTTAAGAAGTGTTTGAGAAGAATTAGGTAGAGTAGCACCCATCTGAGATTTTTTTCCCACTTAATGAAATTAGGTAGAATGGGAATTAGAAGGGAAATAACTTTAGTCACTCTTAAGATTTGCGGTTACTTAATGCCTTATTACTACCCTATAAAATGATCTGAGATGTGAGAGTGGAAGTTTCTTACATGAGGAAATGTGCCCCAGACCAGTGCAGCCTAGCCCATGGGGTGGGCCGGCCTCAGGCCTGTTCTTCTGGAGCTCCCCCCTGAGAGCTGCTGAGGAATTGCAGGACTATGGCACTAGAAAGGCCCATGGTAGCCCTTCAGCCACACTCTCAAGGTTAAAGGGGCCTTCTTCGCATTCTTGAATCTTCTGGACATACCCTTCCAAGAGGTTCTACCCATCTTTTTTTTTTTAGATGGTGGGATTGAACCCAGAGACTTGCATGTGGTAACACTCCAGCCTCCAAGTTGGTCTTGAGCCTCTGTTCAGATGCCTCCAGCACTGGCCCTGCCTGTCTTCCAACAGCTCTAATGGGAAACTTCCTCCTTGGGTTAAGGGAACACCTGCTTCCCCAGATTGCCCTGACTTCACCCCTTGGGCACATGTCTGTGTAGCTGTGGGGTCTGGGCATGGGAGGACTCCCTCTGGCTTAATTTCTGCATGTTACTGCTAACCTTTTAGGGACCACTTGTCCTTCCTGGCTTCTTGGACTCCCTGTCTTTCACTCACCTCAGAGACAGAGTCATTAAGAGGTGTTAGGAATTGGTAGAAACCCATATGAAGGCCAGGCCTTCCATAGTATATGACAGGACAAGTATGTTTTGTTTTTAAATGCAGTGTGCATCAACCAGGAAGTAATTGCACACGCTTATTGACCAGTAATTGCCCATTTGGCTCCCAGGGACCTACATAGACTCAGGTAGAGTGCTGTCCCCTCTGGCACTCTGCTAAAGGGCCCTGGATTGTAGGGGAGGGCAGGAAAGCAGTGTTTTGTCACCTTCAGCCACTGTCTGCTTACCATATCTATTTGTGTATAGTAAAGGCCCCTCACACTGAATGCTATGTGGTTTGAAGATGCCTTCTCCAAAACTCATGTTGAAATTCAATTGCTATTATAAGACTTGAGGAGTGGGACCTCAAAGAGGTAACTAGGTCCTGAGGGTGTTGCCCTCCTGGTGGATTAAGGCTGATATGGTACAACTGGGTTCAATATAAAAAGGTGGAAGTTTGGCCCCCTTTTCCTCTCAGACTCTCCCCTCACCCTTTCTCTCCTTGTAATGTGACGTCTTCTGCTGTGTTAAGACCGCAGGAAGACCCTCACAGATACAGATCCTCAATCTTAGGCTTCCCAGCCTCCAGATCATGAGCCAAATCAACTTTCCTTGTTTATAATTTACCCAGTCTGCGCTATTTTGTTACAGCAGCAGAAAACAGACTGAAACACATGTCAAAAATGGCTTGCATGGTCTTTCCCAAAAGCTTTTTCTAGAGTCTCCTGTGAAAGTGAGCTATACTACTATCTAGTCACACAAGTCAAAACTCAAGTGGTCCTTAACATACCCTTTCTGCCCCTTATCCAACCCCCAACCAGGTGCTATTGGGTTTACCCTACTGATAGTCTTCCATCCATCCACCCCTGTCCACCTGCTGGAATCCCATCTCAAAGAAGGCCGGAAGGGAGTCAGGAAAGGGGGAAAAGCTACAAAGAGATCAAGGAACAAAAGACCAAAGAAAGGAAGCATCAGGAGGCAGTGTATGCCCATCACTTGGGAATATTAGTGACTGTGGGGTAGCCATCTATGGACTATGTAGTTCAGCTACTGAAAATGGTGGTGTTTCTGTATTTCTTCATCAGATATCTCTGAACACCAGCCACATGTGGAGTGCCATTCTAAATTCCAGGCCTACTGTAGTAGGGAGCAAGATGGGCCAGGGCTACCTTTCCTGGAATTCCCTTGCTCTGTGTGGCACATGGCAGATCTGAAAAACATAAAACAGGAGAATGCTTCAAGTGAACTTCAAGTGCAAGACATTTACAAAATTGAACATCTGCTGTGATATTGTAAAATCTCCAGTTGCCTTCAGAATCCCCCCAAATGCCAGTTCCCATACAAAACCACAGAAGACCATTAACAGAATTTTGCCAAGGGTTCATGAGATTTGGGGGTATTATCTAGCCTACTGCAAAACAGAACATTTAAAAATCCCTTGTTAACTTATTTTAATTCCCTCCATATCTTCCCTCTCCCTGTGCTGTGTGTCTCTTTTATCCACTTTAACCCCTGGAGTACTCCTTTATCTCCTTTCCCAAGGGGTTGGGTGTTGGAGAAGACAACTTAGATTCCAGAATAAACTATGTCAGGAAGGATCAGGGTGGGTGAAGGATATTAGCTTGTGATCAAAGATCCACAAATGCAAGCTGGGGCTGGGGCTCAGTGGTAGAGCGCTTGCCTAGCACATGTGAGGCATT